ACAGTCATGAAAAATCGAATCTGGTGAAGGAAAAAAAAAACTGACTTCATCCGCTTTTAGTCCCAATTCCAGTTCCACGAGCATTTGCTCATTTCGAATCTAGCGGTCGATATCCAGTGACACAGACCAAATGCTCTTTTTGTAGGTGGATATTTTGCTTTAAAGGGATAACCTCAACAGTTCCTATAGTAGGGCCCACTTTCTCTTTTTTTTTTAATCTGCAGTGCTGTGTCCAGTTTAGACTTTGGAGCGAGTCATCCATGTCCATACGTTCTTTTTCTTTTAATTTATATTTTTAAGATTAACTTATCATTTTTTTCTATATATTGTGAACAAATTTAGATTTAGAAGTTTGTCTGAATTATATGAAAAATTCTTAGACAAGAAAAACAAATATGTATAAGTTATGTGATTCATAAAATCCAGTTTGGCGAGGGTTCACACGGAGCGAATGTTTCTGCTATCTGAAGATGTCACGTGATGGACTCATGCTTCAAACCACTTGCGTCTTGCGGTGATTAATTCCGGTTGTCCGACTAGTGTGGTTCCTATTATACAGTATTTCCTCTGTTTTAAATTATAAGTTGCTTTAATTTTTTTATACATCTATTTCACTATATAACTAGATATAATATTTTGTTTAGCATAGTAAAATAGATGAATAAAAAAAATCAAAATGACTTATAATTTGGAACTGAGGGAGTAGTTTGTATTTAACTGACGATCAAACAAATTTTGTTGTTGTTGCGGTATTTACATGCATGTATATTTTATTTTCCTTTCACTTTCACATGTACATGACCTGTAGTAGATGATAATTTTATCTTTTAATATCACCGTTCCTCACTATTTTCTTTTTTTTCTCTATTTCTCTCACCTTGAGCTCGGCAGTTTGTCCATGGTCATATTCATGGGCTCACGTCCGTTTAGTCTTCTCACTTTTCCTTTTACCTTTTTTCTTTATTTTGTCTATAGTATTTTATTTTCTCGCTACCTTTTTCCTTTTGTTTTTATTTTCCTTTTTTTATCATACTAGATATATGACCGTGCGTTGCGCTGGGACCACGATTTTTAGATTGAACCTCAGTAATCGGACACAGACGCGTGAACTCTGAGGACTTCATATCAAACGTGGACATGTAGATTTGATCTTTGTATTGGAACCGGATAGGATGAGGACGCATCAGCTCTAGAGGATGATTCGTACCGACGCGGATACGTGAGTAAGGAGCAAGATTTGGTATCACTGGATAGATGACGACGTCACAGATCTTTTTAGGTGTAGAGATGTTAAGAAATTTTATCAAAATAAATTACACAAAAAATTGTGTTGGATAAATTGTATGTACATTTTTCAAAAGATGTTAGACAACAATGACTTGCGTGAATAAGTTATGTTATTCGTATAATTTGTTATGTAAAATTATGTTGAGAAACTGTTATGAATAAGTTTGCCTACCGGTAGTTATGAATAAAGATTGGGCTTCAAACTTACATAAAAAAGTTATCATGCTAAGTTGTCTACATAATATTGTTAAAAAATATATTGACTGAGTTATGCTAATAAGCTATGTCTCAGTAAATTATTATGCGTAAATGTTATGTGTATAATTTTGTAACGTTCAAAAATATAAAGTTACGAAAACAATTTTTACCGGACAAGAAAAGTCGCGGCGGGTTGTGGGACTGACCACTGATTTTAAAATTAGCGGTTGTTCGCTGATTAGTGGAGTCAGTTTTTAGTTCATTTGAGAAGGAGAGAAGACAAAACTCATGTGAACGGTGCTACAAATAATGTAGTTAAGGTGAAGCCAAAGCTATTTAAAACCGGTCAAAGAGAATTGCACATTAATGAGACAGAGACAACTTAGGTTTTGACCCTGGTTGGTAGGAAGTACAATTGTCTCAACTAAGATATCTCTTGTCTTAAAAATAAACATTAGAACTTCTTTTTTCAATCTTTTCTCTCAGTTAATTCTCATAACAATTATTTTCAGCCGTTTGGCATTGCTTCTTTGATAGTTAGTTCTCATAGCTTATAGAGAGCCGTTAGAAATCATCATTAGAAATCATTCTTCCTCGACCAAACAACAAAACTCACAGGATTTTAGTAATCAAACTTTTTAATTTACACAAGGACCTGGAAGCTATAAAAATAGATTCCTCACTTCTTGCTATTCTCACCACTAGAATCACTTTTCACCTGCTCCTATCTTGGTCCTCACTTGAACCGTTAGGTAAGAATTAAGAAGTAAAACTTTACTAGACGTATATATGTTTCATGATTTCTAATTTTGTTAGGAAGTGGGCTCAAATTTCCAGACAAGTCTTTCATGGGCTATGATAAGTGGCTCGTAATGAGGAGCCCAAGACTATTCAGGACATGCCCGACTTCGGTAATCGAAACTTCAGTTTTGGCCCAGTCTTTTTAATTTAGGCCCAGAATGCTCTAGCTGGCTGTCTACAATAACTCCAGTCACAGTACTACTAGATATGGGAAGAAGTTCAATTTACCCCCTCAGGTATCACAGTCCTCCGATTTTTCTCGCTGATCTACAAAGCAGTTTTTTAACCTCCGTAACTTTAAAAACCATTCACTTTTGCACCTTGATGATTTTGATGGTGGTTTTGATGCTGTGACGTCACGTTAGAGAAGGTAAATCGGAGTAAGTTGAAAGTTGAAGGAGGTAAATCGGATTAGAAACTTTATAAAAAATATGAAAAAATAAAAACTCAAAATTTTATTTAAATATATTTTACATGGAAATATAATGCAACTAAAAATCCTAAAACCTGGTTTAATCTGGAAAATTCATAGATAAAATATTTTAGCTCGAAAAATTATTGAACTTGTTTTAGAATTTTCTAAAACCATGCTCTATGTTATGGTGCTTAGCTTGAAAGTGTTTGTATTTCTATAGACTTATTTTGGTGCTTTATTTTGGTGCTTATTTATAATGGTCCATTTAACTTAGATGTTTGATTTGGCAACCACGACTTTTTCAACTTTTCAAAATATTTCATCAAGCACTGACAGCAAAATTGGTTTTCTTGAGTTGCATATATTCGTACTGGGGGTGGTTGGAGATGTGTTGTGTAGAAACAGTCCAACTACACATTCATGCAACATAGCGCAACATCACGAATTTACAGCCAATGAAGACAAATCCTGCGGTGCATGTGGTGATGTTTGGCGACTCACTCGCTTTCAACTAATCGGTAGGTAAGAGTCCCCCTCAAAACTCCATAAAAGGGTTATTTGGACATTTTAGTATTCTTTTGGAAAAAAGGAGGGTGTGGGAAGAGGGGCGTATATAATACATGGTTTTACAGACGAGGGGTTAGATAATCAACCATGAATAGGTGAGACGGTGAAGGTTGAAACTACTAATTTGTACCATTTACAAAAAACATTCAGCCTCCCACAATTATATAAGAATAAACAAACACTCGAAACCAAAGCATCACTACCTTTTTGTGAATGAGGTATACAGTTTAGATATTTTCGATACACTTCTACAGCACATAGAGCTGCGTTGTCGTCCATGCACCATTGATAGCGTTATTTGGACTTGGTCAGCTTCAGGAAGCTTGCAGAACGCGCATGGGGCTCCCAAAAATTGAAAAGAAGGAAAGAAAAGAAAGAAAAATCTTCCTTTTCGTGGTGACAATAGTATTTGGAGGGATAAGGTCAAGAGCAGCCAATAATGCAAGCAGAAGACAAATATGCTCTTGGATTAAACTTCACTCCATGCTAAGATATGGACTGCAGCAGCATCACAATATGTGGGCCTGTGGGCACTCATCTCTCGAAATTCTTTGGGTCTCAACAACCCACAAACGATGCACACCCACTTGGGAACCATGGCCTAGATGGAGCCGTGCGTGTTGTCTGGCTATTCGTGAAAGATAAACGTATGCACCGGTGCTGATGCGTACTTCTGCTGAATTTAGATATATGTATGTATATAATAAATATGATATATCTCTCCCACGATAAAAGAAGGGTGGGAAATAACTCTGTTCTAACCTTGTTTTTTTACAGGCAAATAAAGCTTGTTGTCACATAGTTCGGTCAAGTCTCGGTGAGCTCTCGGAACCTTATTCAGGCGGCTTCTGAGTCGCGAGTACGTGACCATTGGGCTACCGCGTTTGGAAGAGCTAGGTGAAATGGACAGCACGTGCTTTCCAGCTCAAGCAGGATCGACGACCCCTGGGTAAGGTGGCGCTACAGGCTTGCAGATTTTCTCACCATTCTTACGCAGAAATATCTGGACATGCACGCACCGCCCGCGTAAAACCACCAGACTAGATACGGTAGGTGACGAGGAAAACCACCAGCCGGAGCGAGACACTTCGCTTGCCCTGCTCCTGTCGAGTCAGCCGCGAAGCTCAGGACGGAAGCCACCTGGACAACCCCGGCGCGGGTCGTACACCAGCTGAGCTGAGCTGACCTCGTCGCGCACTAGCCAAAAGCGGCTTTAATTTGCAAGACCTCAGATTGCACCACCCCGGCCCTGGCTGCCGCGATGTGGCGAGTCCCCGTTGGACCGGCCGTCGTCGAAAAGCCCTTGGGTTTGGGAGAGGCCCTCACTCTTTCGCGTGACCCGGCAAGCGTGCGTGTGCTTCACAGCTCATCTCTAGCCGAGCGTTGAGCGAGCAGGAAACGCGTCTCGTCACGTCGTCTTCGATTGTCTCGAGAATGTTTTCACCAACTCCAGCCGGTTCCTCGGTTTTTTAAACCCTCCTCAGATCCTCCGTTTGGGCGTAACACAGGTCAGTAGGAGTAGTCTGGCCAGTAGGGTTTATCCTCCGGTTAATCACCATTGCCGCCAATCTGCTGTCACTTTGTGCAGCTTAGCTTGTGCCTTTCACACATGCTACTAGCGGTGGTCATTGTAGTTCTAGCCGCGTCCCTAGCCCGGCGCGCGCGTGGTTGATGCAATGTAGTGCTCGGATCGATCGATCATATCGGGACGTGCTGGTAACCTGGTTGATCGATGGAGGAGCAGAGGCAGGAGGAGCGGAGGACCGTGTCGACGACGTGCGGCGGGCGGCGCGCGAGGGCGGAGACGCGGCACCCGGTGTACCGCGGGGTGCGGCTGCGGGCGGGCAAGTGGGTGTCGGAGATCCGGGAGCTCCGGAAGCCCACCAGGATCTGGCTCGGCACGTACCCGAAGCCCGAGATGGCCGCCGCGGCCTACGACGCCGCCGCATTGGCGCTGCGGGGCGCCGGCACGGCGCTCAACTTCCCCGACGCCGCCATGTCGCGGCCGGCGCCCGCGTCCGCGTCCGCGGAGGACGTCCGGGCCGCGGCTGCTGCGGCCGCGGCCGCGATGGCGGACTTGGACAGCCGACACGGAAGAAGCGGTACTCGGCACGACGAGCTGCATGGACACAGTTGTGGCGGTGCTGACGAGATCATGCGCCACGGCGGCGGCGCAGGCGGCGCCATGGCGGCGGGCGTCGTGGACGAGGACGACCTGTTCGAGATGCCGCGGTTGATGTTGAGCATGGCAGAGGGGTTGATGATGAGCCCGCCGGTGCTGGGCCCTGCGGCGGCGGCGATGGAAGCCGACGAGGAAGGCGTCAGCCTGTGGGATCACTCCTGATGCGCTGGAGTGGCGAGCCACACTGCTTTGGCGCAGTAGTGGTAGTGGGATCGGAGGCGGTGTAATGTGAGATGAGGACGCGCGCCACGTACCTTGTGTTTGTAAATGGAAAGCGTATGATCACACCTGATCTGGGCAGAGGAATGTTCTCAGGAATGTGTACGTGGTGGTGGTGGGGCAACATGGACGCTCTGCGATGCTCTTGTACGTACGTACGTAGCATGGATGATGCAGACACGACACGGATACGCACGTCGTCGACACGGATACTCACCATCTCATTGTCAGTGTATGTATTACAAACGCAGTACAGTCAGCCTGGCTCTACAGTTTTGAGGATCCTCCGGCAAACATGACGCCATGAGCCCTTTAGCCTTTAGGCTAGTTTTTTTTTTTCATTTGTAATACGGTGAATAAAGCATTTAGTAGAACTTCCTCCGTAATGGTAGATTCAAGTCGTTTTGGACGACACGGTTGTCTCCAAAACATAACTTTAACTTCTTATTTTTATAAAAATATTTATCGAAAAGTGATATATGTCTATTTTTATGAAACTACTTTTTAAGACAAATCTATTCATATGATTTTCACATTTCCAAACTCAACAACTTAAAAGTTATTTATGATTTATATTTACAATGTTTCATCCAAGTCTTGTCCAAAACGACTTGAATTAAGTATGGAGGGAGTGCTACATAACGTGAATCATGTATTTAGTTCATAAAAGACAATAATATTCAACAAAAGAACTAAAAGAACGGTAAAATAATGTATGACTACCTCAAATAAGAGTATAAGACAATGATTCTGAAATGCCTTCGAGACCAATGCATGTTGTCTAAAACATTCTTTCAATGATGTATATAGTGTAGTATAGTTGGCCTCAAATAATTTTTTGATAGTTTCAATTCGGATACGAACAATTATCTCACTAATCAGTGATCAACAATGAACGAATAGGCTGGTGGGATCAGCAGCACAATTGCCAATCGAGCACACCAGATGTGGATCAGTAGATGGTTGGCGCCTTGACCTTAACAAGGAGAGGAGGGATTACGATTTTGACGAGAGAGAAGCCAGAGCGTGACTGACCGAATAGATTGGCCTTGGGCGAATTCAAAGTTTGATCTGTAGTCGATCGAGGACAGCGGACTGAGCGGTGCAGTGTGGCGCGGTGCCGTCGATGGGGGCAGGATGGCGCCATGCTAAATTTGCATCTAAACTACTTAAATCTGGTACTATGGTGTTCTATTTTATTAAAAACTATCTACCTCTGTGAGCTGATCATAGATTGGTCCGGGCTCTAAGTCCTTGACTTGGCACAGGTGCTTGTATTTTTTTGGATTTATTTTAGATTTAACGGCGCTATGCTTTCAGTGGTAAGTGACGTCGTCCCGACAGTGAAGCGCCTGTGATGACTTTGTGAATCTCGAGATCCGCCGGTTCAGTTCTTTAGAGGTGCTCATAGGGTAGGGTTCGAGTGCGTATGTTCATAGAGGTGAATGTGCGTGCTCCATTGTGAAAAATACATAATTGACCCTCTAAATTTGCGTCCAAACTACTCACATTTGGTATTATATTATGAAAGATAATTCAAAACAATTCTATAAATTTGAATTTTACCCGTATATACAATTATGAAAGATAATTTTAAATAATTCATAAATTTGCATCTAAAATTCCTCACCTCTATCATTATCAAAGATGTTCCATAGTAACATCTAAGTTTGCATCGAAATTGCCCACATCCGCTATTATAAAAGACAAAATAAAATAACTCCTTTAATTTGTAGTTTAAAATTGGCTGTTCTCGCTGTATGGTCATCCGAAGCCAAATCAATACGGTTCACTCCAGGTTCTTAATAGGCAGTAGGCCCCTAAGTCAAAACTTGCATGACTTCTTTCTAACAATCCGGTCGTGGATTATTTACTGCTGGCTAGTTTGGTGTGAGAGAAAAATACTATTTCAGATTATAATCCATGATCGTATACGAGCAAACGAACAAGCTGCCGATTACTATCTGATCGAGAGATAGGCACATCTCTCCACGATATAAGCTACCCAATCCACCTCTTCTATATAATAATGAAATATAAACCAGACATTGTCGGCGTAAGAACAAGACCTATACTTGGAACGAGTAGTAGCTTCTAGTTTCGCAGGAATGACTAGAACGCTATTTGGACTCGCACTACCCTGAATAGGGTATGTAGTCCAACGTCATCGCCTAACTCATTTGTCTTTGCCATAAGTATGGTTGGTGTAGCCTGCTTGTTGTTTGCAGTTAAAAAGTCCATCACCGGGGCTCCCCTCCCATAGTCGTAGAGGAGGAACTTCGATAGAGGCCTACAGGGTACAAGCTCCTCTCCTGAGCAACTGGTCTTCAAGAAGGCAAAAATCCTTACTACACGGCGACCCCACAGTGCTGTCAGACAAACACCACAATCTTGATGTGATCTCATAGTCCAAGAGCAAGACCGCGCGAGAGAGAGGAGGCAGCCAGTACAGTGGCGACCTTAAAGCGCCTCTGGTTCCATGCCGGTGCCGTCGCTGTTGCTGTTGCCGTTGCCGTTGCTCGTGCATGCACGCCACAGCCACGCTGCATCTGCATCTGTCCCCTGCTACCGCCGGTTCGGTTTGAGCTTGGAGGCTTGGAGCCGATCGATCACCTGCACACGCGCATTCGAAATTGAAAATGGCTGGTGGACAGTAGATCGAGCGCGTTCGAAGTCGAAAGACCGGGTTGATAAACGGAGCATAATCACCGAGGACAAGCGGCAGCTGGAACTCGAATCTAGAGACTAAAATAACACGCAGATTCAGATTCTCCGTACGCGAGGCAGTCAGCTGGAGCTTGACTCATAGCGGCGGTAGCTAGGCCTAGGCGACAGTACAGGAGTGAATTGAAATCAACTGGCTGTCGCGAATCGAATCGATTCGTGACAGCGCCAGCCAGAGGTCCAGAGCTCGCGCGCGGCCGTGGAAACCGCGCGCCGAAGGTTCCTGCGGTCAATGCGTGTTGTTCGATGGTGATTTAGAGTAAAAAAAACTAACTAATCCTCGCCATCATCCATCGTAAAACAAAAACCAGCATCGACATAGTGCAAGGCTGGCTAGAATAGGACACGGTTACAGTTACAGCCGTCGGTCTCGATCTTAACATTTCTTACCTGCTACTAGTTACCGCCATGCGCACCTTCTCTACGTTTAAACGGGGTCCAAATTTTTTTTTGAAATAGTAAATGGAGTCAATGTGGCGCGTCGTTGCGAGGCACCGCGACGTCCTGTGCTAGCTGTCCCACATAGGCACGGAGCAGACCAAACGAGAACAGACCGGACACACGCGACCGGCTTTTTCATCGATCGGTTGCTGGAGTACACTGCTCGTACGTGACCAGTGCACAGCACGGTTTGGTGCAATCATGGACTGGACCCCAGCACTCATTCACATTTTCACTTTGCTTTTGCTGCAGATGTTTTCGTGAATTCCTCATCAAACCGATGGTCATGCGGAAGCTATGCAGTTTAGTATGCATTGGCTTAGGCCTGTTACAACCCGACGAGGATCGTAACAGATACCTAGACGGAATCAGAATTTAACAGGAGATTCGGGTCAGACAAACGGAAGGATACAGAAGCAAGCAATTGGAAGGCAGATGTTAAGAGTTCAGGTTCTATTCCCCCTTTGCCAATCGATTACACGGCCTTATATACCCGCCTGGACATAGCTGGATACGCATGCTACAACCGCCGTAATGGCCCAACGCCTAACGCTAAAGCCCATTAAGAAGCCAAGAGTATAACCACCACAACTAACTGAATATACGTCGACTCAGCCACTTGCCGTCCCTGTTGCCGGATGGCCAACAGTGCCACGGCGCTTAGAGTGGGTCCTGACATTGCCTCCTCCTTTAAAACCAGCTTGACCCCAAGCTGGGCTTCTAGGGTATCGACGTTTCAGATCATTCTCCTCTTCCCAAGTCAACATAGACGATGGTAACAAACTCCAGCGCACTTGAATCTGAGCAATCATCGAAGTCCCTTTTCTCACCATTCGAGTTGCAGTAAACTGAATGGGTTGTACAGCTTCTTCAGGGTCAGTAGGCACTTGAGTAATGTCTTCTTCAACCAGCTCAGATGGTGGCACATGCTTTTTGAGCTGAGACACATGCACTACTGAATGAATTTTGGACCCTTCTCGCAATTCCAATTTATATGCCACTGCTTCCACCTTCTCAAGAATTTTGAAGGGCCCATAGAATTTGTAGCATAATTTCATATTGCTCCGAGGGGCTACTGGAGACTGAACATAGAGCTGAAGTTTCAGATAGACCATATCCCCTTCCTGGAACTCCCTCTCACTTCTGTTCTTGTCAGCCTGACACTTCATTCGCTGCTGAGCACGATGTAAGTGATGCTGAATGCAGTCATTAAGTAGATTCCTTTCAGTCAACCACTGCGCCAGGTCAGCTGAATGAAAAGTAGATTCACTGCTAATCCTGTAACAACCCGGTGTTATGACCAACATTTAGGCACTATAAATCATACATATCATGCATCATCAAACATCCTAATCATACATGCCTAATCATGTAAATAATAACTGAAACCCTGCTTCGAAACATACGAAACATGCTCGTGAAACATGAATGTTGCATACACTTGTTTAGAGTTGTTTTGCCATGATTATGCTTGCTAGGTTAGTAAAACATGTTTGGCTATAATTGTAAGTCATCTAGAATTATTTAGCACAATTTTTGGAGCAAAGTTTGTATTCAAACTTTTGACAAAATATGCTTTTGAAATTATTATTGGAAAGGGTCAAAAATCCTCTCTATTTAGCTTTTGTTTCCCAATTCAAAATCTATGCAAAATTTTTAGTTGGTCCCTAAAGCAAAGTTGTAGAGGACTAAATTCTAAGCAACTTTTATTTTTGGGCCATTTTCAAAAAAAGTCATTTTCTTGCTTAAAATGGTACTTGAAAACTGATATTTGAAAA